TGAAGCAACTATTTATAGAAAAAAAATAATGGACGAAATATTTTGAAAGAATTTTAAATATTATATAAATTAACATGTACACCTTTTAAATGCATTTTTATATAAATATGAAAGTTGTACGTTAAAATTAACATAGAAAAAAAAAAAAAAAGAAAGGGTGTAATAATATTAAAATAATGAAAATATTGAAATGAATAAATTAAAATTAAATATTAAATTAGGCGGAGGAGTTTTGACTCATAGCCTTCTTATACACAGCTGTTATAAAAAATCTGTAAATTTGTAATTTTAAATTCAATTGAATAAATATAATTAACTATAATAATTATTATTATTATTATTGTTAGGGGATGTGGCACTGCGGCTGGTGGGTCTATTGCGCCCCCTTCTGGGCTTAGACTAGGCCTTTAAGCCCTCTTGCATCAATAAAAAATAGAATAGAAGCTACTTTACAGATTTTTATTGCCTCTTCCGTAAGAATATACATTCCTAGGAGCTTATTTCGTATGTGCATTAGTGCAGGGCATTCTAACAACACATGTGTGGCCGACTCCGCATTTTCTTCACAGAATCAACAGTTTGCATCCGTAAGTATACCCAGTTTTGTGAGAGTCTACAATGCCCTGTTAGGATTCCTGTGATGATTCTAAGTTTTTTTCTTATGATAGGTTCATACAAACCTGGTTATAGGTTTGTTATAGGAATCAATAAGTGATTTGGATTGTTTTAATCCTGGTATATTATCATAGTAGTCCTTTTTATTCTAGTTCTCCTTTATTTTTATGAGAAAAAGGAGCGTACTATTTCCTAGTCCACAAAAAGGTTCCGACCCCATCATCGACGTGGCTGCTCCTCTTTTGGCTAACTTATCCGCATATTCGTTTTTCCAGTATGTCCCGGTACCCAAAGAATTGACAATTGATTTGTTTCGCCAAGCTTATCAAGGCAGTTTAACACTAGTCTTGAGGCCATCTGATGCGAGTTCAGTGCCTTGATCGCCGCTTGGCTATCTGTCAGTATTGCAATATTTTTATCCTGGTAATTCCGTTCAATATTGATGAGTACGCATTTTAAAACTGAGCAAATTTTTGCTTGAAAGATGCTAGTATTTTTCCCCAGCACTTCCTAGTGCTTTTTGTCTGGTCCGACTATGCCAGCTCCGGTACCTTCCTCCATAAGCGATTCGTCAGTGAACCATGCGATTGTGTTTTTTGTTAGCTGGTAGGTTTGATTGATGCCCTCCCAGCTTATTTTCTTGCTTTGTTCAGTTCTAAAAAGCTTAGTAAAGCTAAACTTAGGATTCATTGTGTCCCATGGCATTGAATGTTCCAGACGCTGCTTAGCAAGGTTTTCGAACTTCTTTCATTGTCCAACATGATAATGCAAAAAAAAAAATCTTTCCATCGATCTTGGATGGGCTTATTTTTGCGAGACGAGATTGGCAAAGATAGTGTTCACTCAGATATAAACTCAACCTCAATGTAGCGACAAAAGCCCTCAAAAAACCCCTTAATGAGAAAACAGCACCAAACAGTTTAATACAAAAATATCTAGATAGCCTTGGCTCACAAAAAGAACATAATTATTCCTTGTAAAAAACTGCAAAGAAATGTAAAGCCCTATTCAAAAAGAACCTCCTATACGCAAACAAAATGGCTCCTGGGCTCGTAGTAATGAATAAAAAGGAATTGCTCTGGCACTACACCTGCAGAATGTTCTTCAGCCAAATCCCCAAATCAATGACTTCCAGCCTAAAATATCTATCTCAACTGACGTAGAAAATCCTTCAATTATAGTTTTCGGAATTAAAAGACGTTATAACTAACACTAGTCTAAGAAAAGCACCTGGGCAAGACCAAATAAATGGGAACATGATTAAGCACTTGCCGGACACGTCATACTCATTCTCACAATTTTCAACAGCATTTTATCTTTTGGGTACTTGGGTTTTATCTCGATACATTGGAAAAGATTGTTAATAAAAAGATCTCGAAGCCTTCAGTTGCCACAGCATATGATCGATAAGTCTATTGCTACAATTCTCAAAAATGTTCGTAAAACTTCTAATAAAAAAATCCTGATTTCCTTAATTCCGGACTATCAATTTGGTTTTCGCGAAAGGTTCTTTAAAGACTTTTTCTGCTTTAAAATTATTGCTTTTGCATACAATTGTGTTTAATTTTTTTTTTGAAGAGTAACTTAATTTTTTATGCTTGAACTTCATTGTTGTTAGTGCTTTTGCAAACAATTGTGTTTAAATTTTTTTTGAAGAGTAACTTAATCTTTTATGTTTGAACTTCATTGTTGTTTCTTTGGTCAAAATAAATCAGAAACCAAAAATTAATTTCAGTAAAAATTAAATAAGTTATACGAAATTTAAGAAAAATTTTGTGGGTGAACGCAAACTTTTACTGCTATGTGTATATATTGAAATAATTGAAAAGTTTTGTAGATATATAGCTATAAAATAAAATACTTTAAATAATATCTAACCATTTTTCTTTTTATTACACAAGCTACATATATTTAATCTTACGATATTAAACAAATTACTATTTGTATATCATTTAAGTAAAGCTAACCATAGATATTGTTAAATGTAATACTAAGTGTACTAAGAAATATAAATTATGAATATCATTCTATGTATGTCTAACAAAAATACATTGTATTATTAATAAAAACTGGAAATCAGGCTACGAAAAGTCAAAATGGATCAACGCAAACTGATGGATAACGCAAATACAATAACAGATATGGCAAAGGTAATTATTTTATCTTATTTGCGAAGTTATGTATTTCACTTTTAAGAAACAATATGCATATTTCAAAATAACAATAGTTTAGAATGGCTACACAAATATTTTAATATTCGCTTTCAAGACTGTAAATTGTTTAGTTTTTATCTCTATAACTAATCTTGCAAACGCAGTTTTATTACGAGTTAAATATATTTTCAAATATTTGTCTCAATTTTATTATTTATTAAAAATAATTAAACATCCAATTTAAACAGAGTACCGAAAACTGAAAATGGTTTATAACTCATACAAAATTATTGAAAATATTCACCAGATGGATATTTGCTGTCTTTTGTGAATCTGTACAATAATTAAAAAATGAATTCTTTAACGCTTCGAAATTGTGAAAATTTACTTCGCAAAAAATAACTTCTTTTCGCGAAGTTCATAAAGTGCATAGTGTTTAATGAAAAAGCTTAACCATTATAGTTAAATGCTTGCGTTAATAAGCAAAATTGCCATATATGGAGCGAAGATAATCATCAATCCGTTAACGAATCGTAATCACACCAGTCCTTTTTACTTTCGAAATAAGCAAGGAGCTGCCGTTACGCTAAATGCCGAGCGTTATCGAGTTATGCTGACTGAATTTTTGTTTCCAGAAATTAATTAGTTAAACATCGACCACATTTGGCATTTGGTTTGAACAAGATAGCGTGACTTGCCATACAGCACGCTCAATTTATTACGAAGTAAATTTGGTAACAACTTTACTTCCAGAAGTGGTCCTGTTAACTGGCCTCCTCGTTCTAGCAATTTAACGCCTCTCGATTACTTAGGGGCTGTGTAAAGATATTAGCTTATGCCGTCAATTGAAAAACCAACAACTCTTCAATCATTAAAAGCCAATCTTCATGTCACCATTGACGCCATACACTTATTGCAAAAATAATCAAAAATTGAACTAATTGCATGGACCATGTAACTCGTGGTCGCAGGGAACATATGCCAGAAATCATATTCAAAAAATAAATGCCATAAAATATTCTACCAGATCATAATAAAAAAATTTCATTCCAACAATATTTCTGTCTCGTATTATCATTTTAAGTTCCAATGCAGCTAAAAAAACATTCAATATATACCTTAAAGATTATGCCACATTGGTATAATAGTAAGCTAATCAACTTTACCAATCAGGTCACGTTAGTATATTAAAGAAGTAATCTATATACCTTACTGACTTGCGTCTTATCTGTTACGAATCTTCCGATGCTATTGCCTTTTGCACGCGCTGTGACGAACAGATCTTTAATTCAGTTTTCACCTTCTTTTATATGCCATTCTGGTTACTGGACTTCCGATTTCACTTTTAGTACGGTGTATATGGTAGCTCATCTCGGATTTGTTATTGCACATCAAACCATTCCATTATTTGCGAAATGGTTTGTTGTTGTAATTGTTCAATTTCAATAATTCACATCACTAGTGTCCAAGTATGAACTTGAAAAAGTGCGTTTGTTTATCAACGAAATTTGTGAACTTATTACATATAAAAGAAAATTGTTTTGACAAAAAAATCTATCGGAAAATGGTTAGTCTTATTATTAAATTTTCATTTTATATTAGATGTTCAATGTATTTATTTATTAACAAAATTATAACACAATTATGAATTACAGCTAACTAAAATTTATAGAAGCTATAGCTACTTGGCCTTATGACATTGACAGACGAGCGCACTAAATTATCATTAAGCACCCTCAAATGATCATTTTGAAAATACCCTGACAGACAGTATAAATCATCATTAAGAACTGTAAGAACATTAAGAACAGCAACTGTAAGGAAAATCTCATCCTCTTCAGTCCATGCGTGGCGCTTGAGTTTATTAATTTCAGTCATCTAAAATAAAAAGAAATATAAAATATATAAAAAGAATATAAAATATATAAAAATATAACGAGTACTTACATTTACCAATGTTTCCAAATATGTTTTGCTTACATTTTGACAACCATATAGCTTGAAATTTGCTCCATTTTTTATTTCGTTTCACTTGCATATGCAACATTACCATTTCTAAAAACCTAAATGACGAATAAATTGGGTTAAATTCGGTAATTTAAAGACCATAAATGATCATTTAAAATCGTTAAATTAGCAAATAAATTATAATTTAGCCCCTTAATGATAATTTAGCTCCCGTCTATTAATGCTATTAAGCATACTGATTTAAAAAGGATAGAAGGGTGTTATACTTAGAAATAGGATGACAGTATGATTAGGGCTTAAATACCTTGTTTTATTTATTTATTTATTTTTATTATTATACATTGTACATTTATTATACATTCAGTACTTTAATTCGCTACTTGGCGCGCAAAAAAGTCACGCCGTAACTTTCGGTGTTTTCTAAGCAAAAAACTTATAAAGTGATATTAAACTCATCACAAATAATCAAGACAGTGACTCTTAAACAAGATTAATAAAAAATAATAGTGCCTGATTAAATAAAATATTATTATATTTATTTCTTTTTGCAAAAAAAGAGAATTTTGACTTTGTGTCCGAATTTGTTTACTTTTCTCCAAATCACACACAATTGAAAACAGCTGAAGCTCAAAAACAAATTTACAGAAAAAGTGTTGCAAACGGGTAGAATAACTAAACAAATTACAAGTCGCAAATTTGAAAAATTGTGTAATTGTGTAATTAAATAACAAACTTATGCTAAATAAATAAAATAAATAAATACGCGAAAGGACGCCTGAAAAATTTATTGTTTGATAAATTCTTAAGTAAAATTGAAATTTATATTATATTATATTATAAATTTATATTATACTTATATTAATAATATATATTTCTATTTTTTAATATATATTATATTTTTCGTGCCATTTAAAATAGAACTTTATAATTAAATAATTAAAAAGTAGAAGTTTCTTTTTCACAACAAATTACTCAGAGACAGTTGGCTGCTCAGCTAACTCCCGCGATACCAACCACGATATGCCAATTAATAGATCACCGCCTTCGCATAGCGGAGGCACAAACCACTCACCCATATGCTACCCAACAGCAGATGGTACTTCTGAGAAGCCAACCACGAACCAAACAGCAACGCTAAACAACCAATCCCAAAGGCATCGCTCATACTCGGTAAGTGAAATTTCTTTCAAACAATCAAGCTACCAACCGCAAAGACCAGCAACAACTTCGAAAAATAACACAGCATCAGCGCAACATGTTAACATATTACCAAATATATTGCATAAGAATAGTAACACAGCAAAAAGTCCTGATTTACCCAAAGTCCGTGGCATGGATAAATATATTCAAATCATAAAAATAGGGCAAAAAGTCCTGATTTACCCAAAGTCCGCGGCATGGATAAATATATACAAATCATAAAAAGAAAGCGAGCACCGAAACAAGAAAATGCTAACAATGCAATCTTGACAAAAACTCGAAAAATAGAAAATATTTCGACAGCGAATCGTTTTGTCGTTCTAGCCGAAGATGATAAAAATACCAGACCCGTCCCTAACCAGAAACCGCCACCCATATTTCTGCGTGAAAAAAACTCAAATGCTCTTATATACTCCGTAACACAAACTATTGGCAGAGATTCATTGAATCTGAATCTGATGAAACAAAAATTTCGATCAACGAAGAAAAACATTACAGAACAGTTGTAAATCACCTCATAAAAAACAGTAACATTTTTTACACATATCAATTAAAAAGTGCCAAAGGATTAACAGTGGTTATAAGAGGAATAGAACCAAATTTGAACATAGTAGAAATTAAAGAAACACTTGCAGAAAAAGGATTTAAAACAACATCTGTGTACAACATTAAAAACCTCGATAAAGTTTCGACAACGCTATATAGAATAGAGCTTGAACCAGAAGGAAAGAAACTCAAATCGAACGATGCTCACCCACTTATTCCCAACAATTCCTACTCTACAGAAAAATATTAGTAGAAGTACCGCACAAGCGTAAAAACGCGATGCAGTGTACTAATTGTCAAGAATATAGACATTCGAAGTAATATTGCACACTCCGCAGTGTTTGTGTTGCATGTGGCGACTGTCACCGCACTAAGGATTGCACATCAAATAAGAAGGACTTAATAACAAAAAAATGCGGAAATTGTGAAGGTAACCACACCGCTAATTATAAAGGATGTGTAGTATATACTACCGAAAAACAAAGAATGTTTCCAGCATTGCGTCCCCACTCTCAGTCAGAAATCCCACCACAACCTATACAAACGCGATCTCAGCCAAATGCTCCATCTGACTACAACAATACATATTCACGAATGTAATATGCAAACGCTTTTTTTCTTTTTTTCAAATATTTTAATACAGCAATTAGCAGCGATTATTTATTATTAGTTCTAAGTTGATTTTTAGAAGATTCAATAAAAAGCAAAATAAAATTCAAAAAAAAAAAATTTATTTTTATTTTTTTGGTAGGGAAAGGGGTGGTTTTATGAAGGGGGTATGGGGGGGAGTTATAGTGTTTAAGACTAAATTAAGGTATTCATATTTTTTTTTAAGTTATATTTGGGGTATAAACCAACAGATTGGATATAATTATTTATAATTTATAATGATATAATATATTTTGAGGTATCAACTAATAGGTTGATATAGTGTTTCTTTATTTCGAAAGATGCCGGCATTCGATTAGTATATGTTGTGTTGAATATAAAATGTTGCAGAACGGGCAGGAGGATGGTGGTGATCTATTGAATAAGTGTAAGTGGGTTAAATTGGTATGTCCTAGTCTTTATCGTCATTAATAACACAATTTCGAGATAATTTCATATGTCAATGCATATGTTGTGCTGCTATACCTAAGATGTTCTCTATACGTATGAGAATGAAATTGCAACAGTTTTGCTATTGTTCGCAAAATAATTGCCGGATACATAGTTCACCTGCCAGTTCTTTTAAAATTACTGCAAATTTTCTTGACACATTCGTCAGACAATATTTTTAAAAC